TTCCCTGCAAATCTGCTCTGCAGAGCCAAGGATGGAGGAAGGAAAAGCCTCTAAATAAGAAGGAAATAGATAGAACTTGAAACATCCTAACATAGCTCCATGTGCCACCCAGGCACAGAGAAAATCACACCCTACGTTGTTTGGATCTGAGAATATCCCAATAAACATTCACAGCTCCTGCACAGGAATTCCCTTGGCCAGTACCAATATGGCCTCACCAGTGCCAAGTCCAGGGGAAGAATCACTTCCCTGGTCCTGTTGACCATGCTGTTCCTGATACAGGCCAGGATGCCATCCATCTTCCTTAGGAATGAGTTGTTAGAAGGAAGAATTGCTTAATTCAAGGTCTGGGTGGATTTCAGGGGGAGGTTATGCTTTCCTCTTGGCCCTGGTGCTCCCTAATACAAGGAACCAAATCCTACAGATACAAACATAAGAGATTAAAAAGATAAACAGCATTAAATATCTCTGAATAAGGAACTCCAGGCTGAGGATATATTTAAATAGAAAGAGGGGAAATTTAGGTGAGATAGGAGGAAGAAGTTTTTCCCTGTGAGGGTGGTGAGACACTGTCCCAGGTTGCCCAGGGAGGCTGTGGCTGCCCCAACCCTGGCAGTGATCAAAGTCAGGTTGGATAAAACCTTGAGCAACCTGTTCTGGTGGGAGGTGTCCCTGCCCAGGGCATTGGGAATAGATGAACTCTAAGGTCCATTCCAACCCTTAAAATTCTATGATTCTAATATGCTACCTTTTATTTTAACCCATAAAATTTGACCATAAATGATGTGAGCTGCAAAAATATGATGAGGTAAAAATCAATAGACACAAAAAAGAAGGTGTTGGGCTGATTTTTTTTAGATATTTTTACACAGAAGACTCCAAGTGGAAGTACTTCAGATCCTCACAGAGGAACTAGGATTTACAAAAGCACAGAATCACAGAATTCTCAGAACTGGAAGGGATTCACAAGGATCATTGAGTTAAACTATTGCCTCTGCACAGGACATCCCTGATAATCACACCATGAGCCTAAAAGTGTTGTCCAAATCATCCTCTGCATCAAATTCTCCACTGATGTAAATTAGGCAGAAGTTTTGCTCCAGCTGACTCTCTGCCACTCATCCCACAGCTATTATCAAGACATTATCCATCTCCACACCTCTACAACTTCCTTTCACTCTGCAAAATCACTTGGTGTCCTGAGAGCTAAACTGCACCAAGGCAACTCCCTGTGATGGAAATCACTGCAAAGCACTAATTCCTGAGAGTTCAGAGGGGGGGGAAAAAAACCCACTAAATTAAGCAGTGAATTCAGCAAAACAAAATAGCTGTTTTCTTCTCCCTTGGCATGTACTGAGAAGTGGTCATAGGATGTGAGGAATGGGAGAGAACTCTGGGCAACCCACGAGAGCAAACATGCACACTTGAGGTTGGAATGTGGTCGAACTCACCATGGCTGTGAGGAGAAGTGGCATTTTTGTGACAAGCTTGAGTTGCTGACATTACATCTGCTGTGAGTCAAGTGTCAAACCTGTACCCAACCTATGCTAGACAGAAGAGGGACTGGCAGACAAAGAGAACTATGCCACAGCACAGATGAAACAGCTCAAAATCTAACCAAACGAAGCCATCAAAAGTCCCTTTGGCTTCAATACACATTAAAAATCAGATTTGCCCTTCTTATTTTACCAGACTATGGAAAATACATAGGAATAAAGACAAATGAGCTCCTCAAGACCTGGAAGAGCCCAATGCACTTTCATTTGCTCACATACTTCACTACCACATACCTTGTTATCACATGAGTATCACTCACACAGGCAGATAAATAGCTGGAGATGTTTATTAAAAGAACATTTAGTCCTTGATTTAAGCACAATAGCTCCACTCAGGCTAGCCATGGGGGTGGAGAGGCTTGTTCACAGGGTGCAGCTACAGCCTCAGTGCTTCCAGAGAAAGGCATAAGCCCTGCCTTGTTCTGAAGAATTTGGGGCTTTTGCCACTCATGTGGACACTTTGCCCAAGGGGAGGAGGAGGAGGAAAGGTGGGGGTGTAGTGCTGGAGGGGAGCTCTGAGGGTGGCAGGGATGTAGGAGAGTCACCAAACACAAATAGCCCCACCACAAAGCAACCCCTCCCTTGGTCCAGTGAGCAGCTTGCTCAGGTGCCTTCACAGGAGAACCTGCTGGGCATGCCCAAGTGCCTCCTGCCACGGTATATAACCTGTGCCACGAGGAAACAACTCCTGTTCTGCACCAGAGCTTAGTCCAAAATGAAGGCTTTCCTTGTCCTCCTGCTGGGAGCTGTCCTATGCATGGACTCAGGTAAGACACCATGGAGAAGCTTTCCTGGGTCTTCTCCAGCAGAGCTTCAGCTAGGAGAAAAGATTTGTGATGGGTTTAGCAGTGAGGGAGGTGATTCTGGCACGTTGTCACCTCAAGACATTTGCTTTTTGATGGGATAAACTGGGTGTTGCAGGGGAAAAATGCATCATCCCAGGCTGGTGGTGATGGTGTGATCCTGATGCTTCCAGGAAGGATAAATCCTACACAAAGCTGAATTAATGGAAATCCAAGTTATTTAAGCCGTTCCCTATAGTTATGGGGGTAATGAAGGGGTTAAATGGGGTGGGAGGATTATTTTTCCTCTTCCCAGGCTATCAACATTGCAGCATTTCTCCAAAGGTAAGTTTCTTCCAGCTTGTTTTTTGCTTTCCTTTCAAAAGCAGCCTCTGACACTGCCCAGATTGTCACAATTTTAGTGGAACAGCAAAAGGGACAATGTCCTGGTGTGTTATTTAATAACCTGGATGGGTGGGGTCTGAGCACTCTCAAGGTTTTCCAGCCTCACTGGGAAAAAAAATTAGTTTAAAGCAGTTTTTCCCTATTAGCAGAGAAGAGAACAAGCAGATCTGAGCAGAAATCCTCCATCAGCAGATGATGCTTAAGGAATAGGTTGAGATGGGTCTTGTACAGTCCTGGACAGACCTTTTCCTCTGCCAGCTTCCATCAGAGAGCTCTGAAATTTGACTTTCACTGCATTGAAAGTCAGATCAATGTGAGACCAGAGTGCAGCACTCAGACAAATTGGGGTTTGTCTCCTTCCCTCTGTGACTGCATCAGTCATTTCTACCAGAATGGCTTGGACAAAGGGAGACCAAGTGGCTCAAACCACTTCTTGTTCTTGCTTTGAACAACACTAATTCCTAATTAGGGCTTTGCTGGGTCCTACAAGAGCATTTCAGGCTTTAGGGTATTGGCTAGAGGGTTCATGATACAAATTTGGTGGTCCTGTGGCTAAAGTACCTATAGACACATTGACTCTCACACTTACAAGGCTCCAGTTATGACCTGGAGCATGAGTAGGAAATAGGAACTGGTAATCATACAATGTTCTCACCCCTCTGGGGACTATTTTTCATCACTTGTGAACTGCAAGGCTTATCCTGCCTGTGCTTGGTGTACACAACAGCACAGCAGATGTTAACAACATTGATTTTCATGCCCCAGAGAGTGGCAGGTCTACAAGAAGGTGAGAACATGTGGTGACCTGGTGTTCAGAGGGAGGAGAAAGCCTTTCTAAGAAGGGGTGATGGAGAGGATGTGTCACAGATTGGTCAAACTTAGACAACAGGCTGAAAGAGACCTTGCAAATTGCTGCTGCATCCCTCCCTCAAGGCCAGGTTGGATGGGGCTTGGAGAAACCTGGTCTAGAAGGAGGTGTCCCTGCCCATGGCAGGGGGTTGGAATGAGATGATCGTTGAGGTCCCTTCCAACCCAAACCATTCTGTGATTCTATTCAAGACCAACTATCCATCTGATCTCTTTTTGCTCTCTCACTGCCCTGACTACATCTGAAACATCTTCAGCACCTGCAAAACTCACCTCAAGCAGGTGTGATATTCTTCACCAAAATGGGGAAAACACATTGGTTTTCCAATATTAGAGGTGTTATCTTCCTTGGATAACTTCAGGAATAATCCCATTTCCCAGTGCAAGCACTAAATTGGGTTCCCTGGAGATCTTCACATAGATTGAAGAGCTGTGAGAGGTGTAGAATAATTTCCTCACCTGGAATACTGTGCCCAGCTCTAGGGCAATCAGAGCAAGAAAGATGTTGACCTCCTGGAGCAAGTCCAGAGGAGGCCACGAATATGCTCTGAGGGCTGGAGCACCTCTGTTGTGGAGATAGGCTGACAGAGTTGGGGGTGTTCAGTCTGGAGAAGAGAAGGCTCCAGGGAGACCTTTGAGCACCTTCCAGAGCCTAAAGGAGCTCCAAGAGATCTGAGGACAAACTGTTGTGATAGGACAAAAGGTAATTGCTAAAAACTCAAAGAGGGTTGATTTAATTTAGCTATAATGTAGACCTTTTTTTACAGTGAGTGTGGTAAGACACTGGATGAGGTTGCCCAGAGAGGTGGTAGATGCTCCATCCTCTGAAATATTCAAGGCCAGGTTGGATGGGGCTTGGAGCAACCTGGTCTAGTGGAAGGTGTCCTTGTCCTTGGAAGGGGGTTGGAACTAGATAATCTTGAAGGTCCCTTCCAACTCAAACCATTCCATGATTCTATGATTTCTCTTCTAACTCCTCTTGGTCTCTTGCAGGTTCATCCTTGCAGTGTTACAGCTGCAATTCACAGCTCAGCAACTCCAACTGTCTGACAAAAAAGTTGGACTGCGGTGCCGATGCAACATGCAAGACAGATGTGATCAGTAAGGCAAAGTGGGGGTGGACAATGTCTTAGTTGTGATGCTGGATCCAATCTTCTTCCCAACTTCAGGTGGCCAAGCCAATCTCACCTAGTGTAGACACACAAGGTGGTGTTGGCCAGCAAGGCTCAAAGTGCAGCTCTCCTAATGTATCTCACCTGTAAAAAATGAGGTTTATTTCTCTGTCATAACACCAAAAATCATTTGCTTCCAAGGGCAATAGTTAAGTTTCTGGCTTTGAAAAATGGGCAAACATGAATGAAAATGTCAGGGGCTGAGTCTGGTGAAACCTAGTTGTGAAGTTAGGAGGAACATTCACTTGCAGAGTTGATTTCAGATTTTCCCCTATTCAGATCTGTGGTGAGAGCTCAGTTGCTTAAACCTGGGGCACAAAACCACTCAGTGGCATGGGCAAACTTCCCTCTGTCAGGGAGTAGATGTAATACCTCCAGAAGGCACTGACCTGGTTGGAAATGTGCAAATCCCTGGCATTCACATACAGGAGAGCCAACAGGTTGGATAAACAACTGTCCCTATGTATTGCATATGGCACAGACTCAGTGCCCAGAATAGATCATGAAGGATCAGGAGATCTCATGCAGGTCATAGCTCCTGGCAACCAGTAACTGAGTTACAAACTGGCCATAGAAAAAGTTCTGGGAACCTCAGCTCAGGAATGGCAGGAACCTGCTGGAGAGGGTCCAGAGGAGGCCACGGAGATGCTCCAAGGTCTGGAGCACCTCTGCTATGAGGAAAGGCTGGGAGAGTTGGGAGTGTTCAGCCTGGAGAAGAGAAGGCTCCAAGGAGACTTTAGACCCTTTCCAGTGCCTAAAGGGACTCCAGGAGAGCTGCAGAGGGACCTGGGACAAGGGATGGAGGGACAGGACACAGGGAATGGCTTCCCACTGCCAGAGGGCAGGGACAGATGGGATATTGGGAAGGAATTCCTGGCTGTGAGGATGGTGAGGCACTGGCACAGGTTGCCCAGAGAAGCTGTTGCTGCTCCATCGCTGTGAGGGTTCCAGGCCAGGTTGGATGAAGCTTGGTGCAACCTGAGCTAGGGGAAAGTGTCCCTAGATTGGAAGATTGGAACCAGATGATCTTTCAAGTTCCTTTCAACCCAAACAATTCTGGGATTCCATGATTTTTTTTCCCCAAGAAATGAGCCCAGATAAGAACAGCAGCTCATTATTCAGTTCCATGAGGCTTGGCTTGCATTGAATCCTTCTAGTAATTATCCTCCTTTCCTTCCAGGGGTTGTAGGGCTCTTCAGCATCATCAGTAAGGGCTGTGATTCCTCCTGTGCATCATCCTACCAAGACTTCAACGTAGGCAACAGGAATATCTCCTGCTGCAGCACTGACCTCTGCAATGTCAATGCAGCAGGGAGTGTGAGGTCCAGCTATGGCATGGCAGGAGGAGTAGCAGCTGGAGTGCTCTGGACCTTCCTGAACAACAAATTGTGAGGAGCAAAGAGGATTGCCATGACCACAGAAAGTCGTGGAACAGCTCTCATAACAGGAATTGTAAGCAGGAGCAATGTGGTGTTCTGGGCATTCTGCACCCTTGGAGCTGATGGCAGCTCTTTGCCATATGAAAGCTTCTTTCCTCTGATTGTAAAGCTCTAGTGCTACCAGATAAGAAAATGTGTGATCATGCTACCTGCAACATGCCTAAAATATACTTATTTCCAAATCAAGTGTGAGTGTGTTATTTGTATATCACTTAGTCACCTATTTCTGTTCCCAACAGCAACTGCAGGTGGTGTGTGGTGTGTCTGGCCAATGTTGAGCTATGTAATGGGACCTGATCTCGTTTTATGACAGGTGGGATGAGGGAAAGGCTGGATATAGTATACCTGG